ACACGCAGCACCTGACGCACCTTGTAACAGTAATATATTTTGCACCTCCGATTAGCACGGTTGGCTATGCACGGTTCAAAAGAAGTTCAACATACACTCACACACATACACAGCCCAGTCGTAGTTCTTTTGGGCTACGGTTTTGGAATCATCTGATGGAGGAGGATATCTCTTTCTTTCTTTTTTTAAAGAATTTACATTTTATCAACATACATATTATATATATTTTTATAAAAACATGCTTTTTGAAATATCCCTTTTGTCATTAGTGCTAAAAATACTACACGTATCCAGGATTTGGTATTAATTTTCACAGCAAATGATTTATGTTTTTTTCTCATTATTTTTGGTTTACTCAAAGTTCCCTTAGACAAACAATGGACAGGCCATGATATAATCGGCGCTTCCACTTGGGAGGGCCCCACGCACGTGTGTGTGTGTAGACTTTCTATCACGGAGGTTCTGCATTCTTGCAAACACTCAGTTATACGAGTGTTTGGCATTTGGGAGGAAAGCAGAGAACCCAGAGAATAAACTACGCATGCATGAGTGGGGGGGGGGGGGGGGGGGGCGTAAACACTCAGAGTTCTGCACAGATAGATTCAAGTATCCAATGATGCCTCCGTATCACCTGGCCCACCTTGCATATTAACTTACAATTTAGCCAAACAGACCCATTAATAAAACGATATATAACAGTACTGATGCTCTCTAAAGAATGTACAATATATAGAATTAAACTGCATTGCGTTCGGTAACCGCGAGTAGTGGACCCCAAGAATCCTGAGAGCGTATCGTTTTATCTCCGTAGACTCCCACAATGCACTGCTAAATATATGCAGCCTCCTTGAGCCTCGAGCATTGACACTGAAAGCCTAAAAGTCATTGTGGCGCTTTAATTTGGCTTTCTGCGCCCCGGGCATCAACAACAAAATAACAATAACATCAATGGCACATTAGGTTGTGACTCGATGAGCCTGTGGTATGTGCTAAACTTTACAAAAATGTAAGGACCTTACACGACGTCCCAAGCCCCACAGGGCAGGTCAAGCTAAGCATCGTAACAGTGTCTTTGCGTGTCCTTGCCGGGAGCTCCTATCGCAGATGGCCAAGAATACATCCAGGCATCTTCCTTGAGCTCATGTGTTTTCCTTCCGCCTCACCTTGATAATTGGCTCCAATTAACAATGAGCTCCTCCGTACTTGTCGTGCAGTCGCTCGCTCACACCTCCCGACACCCGCCACCGCAAATGGCTCTATTCTACCAGCTTCGAGTTCGCTACGTTCACGCCGAGGCATACTTGGCATGGATCAGTCAGATACATTTAACTCGGTGTGAAACTTTTTAGGGGAGCGTACGCATGTCATCGCGCCGGATGAGTTTTAATGAATTTCAATAACGGAGTTTGTTTGAGCACAGTGTGTGAGTGTGTACGCGAGAATATAAACCCACGCACGGGGTAAAATAGAATAAAAATAATCCTCATCTTCTCAGTTCGAATTAATAATTGGATTTAAACCTGACATTTAAATTCCTGCCGTTCGGGAGCCCAAACTTCCGGGCTCATACTTTACCTCCCACATACAGCCCCCTTCCCTTCCACAGTCTCTTCCTTCTCTTCCCAGTGTATCCCCGATTGCTGCCTCCCAGTACTTTAAACACGTGTCTCTCTCTCTCCCCGTGGTCGCGTGGATTTTTCTCTGGATCTTCCGGTTTTCCCCTCCACATTTACAATCAACGTGCGTTCAGAGTATTTGGCTGCTATAAATTTCCACGTGATAAGCTACTTTGTTGGGCTATCAATTGTGGCCAGGTCACTTTTGAAAAAGAGCTATATATCTTAGTGGGCCTTACGCAGTAAAATAAAAATAGTTTAGTTTTCCTTTTTGTCCGACCTACCGTCTCAGCCATCTCATCACCCTCCTCTTTTGCACACCTCTTTTTATATAAACCTTTCCATTGTATTGCTATAATCTGTCACTCCTTGCATGATCCTCAGTCTCTCCTGCTGCTCGAAGTGTATTTGTGTGATCACCGTTAATTCCACTCACTCTGCCCACCCTTGCTTTTCGCAGCCATTGCCCCCTATTTCCCTGGCTGCCCCGACTTCCCGTTTTTTTCACACGTTTGGTGTTTACAAGTACGGGCAGTCCTCGACTTGTGAACACAATTACTGTAGTTCCTGAGCCCCATTCGTAAATCGAATGGTTCGTAAGTTGTAACAGTAATCTACTATATCTAAATGCCTCCATAAACAAGCACTCACTCCCGGCACGAGGCTGACTCATTACATCTCGCGGAGGATCATTCAGCTGGACAAAATAATTCCGCGGTTCAATTTTCAAGTGAGAGTTTGTGTTTTAAGTCAATGTAAAAAATATATATTTCTTCATGTTTCGTAAGTGCGGGTATTCATAAGTGCGATTGTTCATAAGTTAAGGACTGCCTGTAACATATTGCGCATTAAAGCCACGCGAGGTTTCGAGTTGACCCATGTGAAACATACGGTCAGTGGAAATTGTTGCGTTTGTAGAGTTAACAAACTGTTGACGAATAACAGCCTTACTCATACGGGGCCGTTGCAGAATTTTGTTGAAATCCAATTAGAATTTTGTTTGAATTTCTGAATGAGCATTACCACACGAATGTAAAAATATACTATGTGTATAAATGTGTTTCTTTTACCATTTCTGGAAATAATACAGGTGTTAAGATGTCCAAACGTGTTGCCTTGCAATAGGTGTCTATTTGGTGTTTGAACATCTTAACATCTCCTGTATTATTGACATGAAGGGTAAAGCATTTTCTTTTTTTTATCATATTAACGCTGGAAAAAGGGTCCTGCAGATGAATTTGTTTCTGTTTGTAATAAAGTAAATGCAAAAATCATTTGAATTTCACGGCAGGGCAAGGCAAGTAACTTGTGCATTCTGAATGAAGCGTGAGGGCAAAAGCAATGGAGACGGAATTCGTGCATAATTGGTTGCTCTCGGTCGAGCATGTGTACGCGAAGGAATAGGGGCAGGCTACCTAATGGGATTTGTGCAAGCAGAGGTCAGCAGCCAGGAGGAGAGCCTAAAGCCACGGGGATGGAGCGCCGCCAGTCGATATCGTTGGCTGCGCAGCGATCTGCAAAAAATACGGGAAGTGATGAAGTGATGAAGAGGTGTGGTGGCTTCAGTAATTTTGGCAACACCTATTCAATCAGTTGGTTACTGTTAATTATTGATATTGAAATGTTTTGTTTTGGTCCTTTCAAGGCTACGAAAGGGTTAGCTCCATTATATCTTGGAGATCTGCTGAAACCGTATGCCCCTGTCCGGGAACTTAGATCCGCCAAATCCGGACACCTGAGTGGTACCAAGGACAACTCTGCCTTCAATGGGCGATAGAGCATTCAATAATCGGGCACCTCACTTGTGGAATGTCTTGCCCCCAATCCATTAGGGATGCTCATGTCAGTCGAGGTTTTTAAGGCTCATCTGATAACACATTTATTTTATCTTGCACAACTATCTGTGTAGGTGTTGTTTTCCTCTTTGCTTTAATGTTAAGAGTTTTTACTGGGATTGTGTTGTAAAGCGCCATGAGGCCTTGCGTGATTGGCGCTATGTACAACTTGAATTTTACTTACTTAAATTTCGGTTTAAAGCTTTCGTGACTGCAGGGATTCATTTTCTTGGTTCTTTCGGTTAAGTCACGTAGAATGGAAATAAAATAATAAAAATAAAACATAATAAAATAAGATTCTCACGACGTTTCGGCCACAAAACAAGTAGCCTTCTTCAGGTGAATAAACAGAACTGTCCAGAAGACAGCGCTCGAGTGAACATTGCCAAGCCTGGACCGCGTCTTTTTAAGCTGTGTGGGTGGAATTAACATATGAATTAGCATGTTACCCAGCACCACCACCGGATCGCGGGAGGGTGGCGGCGGGTACACAGAAAAAAGGAAAGAAAAAAGGAATAGGATAGGTGCGCTGCTCTGTCCTGTATTGCGTTAATAACTATGCTATAAACTGGACTACTATACAATGTAATATTATACCTTCCAATCTAAACTACATGGCATAATATCATATCCATAGACAGAGTGTCTTGTCTTACTGATCTAGTTCGGTGCGTGTAAGTCTGATTTTTTCTAACTAAAACTAGCTGAGCTAACTAGGAAGTGAGAATTTATCTTTAGCTTATTGTTCTTCCCCCCCCCCCTGCACCTCTGATTAGCACGGTTTTTTACGTACGGTGCGAAAGAAGTTCAACATATATACATACATTAACCGTGTCACCTAACCAGACTTCCTTGAACAGGTGCCAAGACACCACAGAGAACAAAGTATCAGTTAATGTAATTAATTAATTCATGTATACAATATTTTATTCTAATTTATGAGGAACAATTGTTTACGTTATATTGTAATCTTTATCCTGCATCACAACAATCGACTTTTAAACGGGGACGCTATATACACTGTAAATTAATTTACTGCCATTCCACGTGTCCATAAAAAAAACATTGTGCACTCTTAGATAAAGGATAATTTATCTACTAGCCTATAGTTCTAACATTCCCCACAAAGTGCTTGCCACAAATGAACCACAATACCTTGCTGATCTCGTTAAGGAGCATAAACCATCATGTGAACTCCAGTCATCATCGTGGCAACGGCTTTTGGCTAGCCATCGAACAAAGACAGTCACTACATCATGCGCTTTAAGATGCGCTTCTGCGTCCATCTGGAATGCTCTTCCTCCAGATATGAGGAAGCCACTGGGAGCTATGCACTTTTAAATCTAGATTGAAAACTCATTCTTTGAAAACTGCTTTTTGTGTTTAGTTTCTGTTGCCCTCCCGCCCCCCACCCCCTTTACCGCCAATTAGCACGGTTGGCTACGTACGTCGCGAAAGAAGTTCAACATACATGTGTACATAACTGCTAACCGTGATTTGATCTATCGATTCGCGTCATCTGTGCATGTCTCCCTCTTGGCTCCCACAGCACTTCGGGGGACAAGAGCCCCTACGTGAAGCGCTGCTGCAAAGGCTTCTGCATCGACATCCTCAGGAAGCTCTCCACCACGGTCAGGTTCACCTACGACCTTTACCTGGTGGTAAACGGGAAGCATGGAAAGAAGATACAGGGCGTGTGGAATGGCATGGTTGGAGAGGTGAGTGCCTTCCCTGAATTCATCACTTGGTCCGGCTGTGGTCCAGTTTGACCTTCGCACAGCTGTGCATGGGTCGGGCTCATTTTTTTTGATCGGGATGTACATTCATCAATTCAACTTTATTCTTAAATTAATGACTTAACGTTCTGACCTGCCCCTACTAGACATCCGTGAAAAAGAGCTTAATAGCTCATCAGATTCATCAAGCATAAATAAGTATTCTGATAATATGAATGATGCATGCAGTGAATCGTGCGTGTACATTTTTATTATTATTTATTTTCCTTACAAATCAGACTTCAAATTCTAGATTTAAAGCTTTCGTGACTGCAAGGATCCATACTCTTTGGTTCTATTCGGTAAAGTCACGTAGGTAAAAAAATAAAACAAGAAAAATCACGACGTTTCGGCTACAACACAAGTAGCCTTCATCAGGTGAAGGGACCAGACTGTCTAGAGGACAGCGCTGGAGTGAACACAGCCAAGCTCAGACCGCGACCTTTAAGCTGTGTGAGAGGAAACCGAGCGCCTTGACAAAGGAATTAGCATAAAAATTAGCATTTAATTAGCGGACTTAGCATGATGAACGGTGTAGAGGGGGGTGAACGTGCGCAGGTCGGCGAGGTGGGGAGGGGGGAGTTTACACATTGATGGTGTGAAAAGGGAATTTAAGCAGCTGCGAAAGTTTGCGATACCACTACTTGAAAAAATATACTGTACCATTGAAAATTAGTTTAATGTTTGGTTTTATTCAGAACATGTTTCCAATGGTTGCTTAATTTGAAACCATCCTCTCGGTTGAAATTGTATCTGTGTTTATAAATCTGAATTGCCTCATGAACAAATCTCTGATAAAAACCCGTGGGTTTGCAAAGAACCTTGGTATCGGAGAAAATTATATCGTGATCACCCACAGTGTTGTAACAGTGATCAGCTACGGCAGAAGAATTCGTTCTGCTGTGTTTCAAATCTGATTTGTGCTCGCGAATTCGGTCAGGGACATGTCGTTTCGTCTCCCCGATATAGCAGTCACCACAGGTGCAGATCAATTTGTAAACTCCGGGGTACTGTAAGTCAGGAATGACATCTTTTACGGAAGGGATCAGATCACGAATTTTGTATACTGTATTGAACCGGACCAGGATCTTGTGTTTGTTTAGAATTTTGGAGATATTTTTAGTAACGCCTGTTATATATGGTAGTGTGATGGTTTTCATCGGAGTATCAAGTGGTTGTTTCTGTATGGAGGGAGAAACAGCTTGGCGGATGGTACGGTCAGAGTATCCATTCCTTTTGAGGGCCAGGTGTACATGTTTTAATTCACTGGTCAGGTGGTGTTGGTCCGAAATGCAATGAGCCCTATGGTATAAAGTTTTGATGAGATGATGATTTTGGGCTGGGTGGTGGTGGGAATCAGGCTTCAAGTGGGAATCCATGTGGGTGGGTTTCCTGGAGACAGAATGCCCCAATGAGCCATCAGGTCTCCTCTCAAACAGAACATCCAAGAATGGCAGCTTGCCATCTTTCTCCACTTCCATGGTGAATTTGATGGCGGGGTGTCTGGAATTAATGTGGTCTAGGAAAAGGTTCAAAGCCGGGAGGCCATGTGGCCAAATGACGAAAGTGTCGTCTACATATCTCTTCCACAGGGAAGGTCTGAGGGTGGAAGTCTGGATGGCGTCTGATTCAAATTTCTCCATGAAAACATTGGCTATCACTGGTGACAAGGGGGATCCCATGGGGGTACCCTCATTGTGTTTGTAGAAGGAGCCATTCCAAGTAAAGTAGGTATTGTTGAGGCAGTGCCTAACCAATGCAGGTGTATCGGGGTCTAGTCCATGTTGGACCAAATTTTCAATTATTTCAATGGTATCAGGTACTGGGACCTTAGTGAACAAAGAGACCACATCGAAGCTGACAAGGATATCGTCAGGGGACAGTACAACGTCTTTGACCATAGAGACCAATTGGGCTGAGTTAAATACTGCTGAGGCGGTCTTGCCAGTGAAAGGCAGCAAGGTATTTGACAGAAATCGGGCTAGTCTATAGGTAGGGGAGTTGATCGTGGATACGATGGGTCGTAGTGGGGTGCCTTCTTTATGAATCTTGGGAAGACTATGGAATCTAGGGAGTCTTGCAGCAGAAGGTTTTAGGGAGGGACGTTTAGTTGGGTCGATTAGGGAGGTCGAACTTGTGATGATCTTGTTGTTTTTTGTCGCTAGGCTATTAGTAGGGTCATTTTTAATTTTTGAGTAATTTCCATCGTTGAGCAGATTCTGGATTTTGTTATGTAGTATGAATCTTTATCCATAATTACAGTAGCGTTGCCTTTATCGGCTGAGAGGATGACTATATCACTTCTGTTTTTTTAATTTGCGAGTTCAGAACGTTCATTTTTGCTGATGTTACTAATGGGTTTCTTAGCATTCTTAAGAATAGTGGCTATTTCAGCTCTCGAAACGTCTGCTTGGATGTGTCCTAAGCCTTTGAGGGCTACGTCGACCTGAGAGATGATATCATCTACTGGTATGTGTTTTGGGGTGACAGCAAAATTCATCACCCTAGCCAGTACTGTTTTCAGATTGTCCGAAATCGGGGTGCTACTCTGATTAATGACGATTTTGTTGACGTCTAGTTTTGTTATATGTGGAACTGGGTTCTTCTTTGATAGGCATAAAAAATAGTATTTAATTGGCGGACTTAGCATGATGAACGGTGTAGAGGGGGTGAACATGTGCAGGTCGGCGAGGGGGAGAGGGGAGGGGGGAGTTTACATATTGATGGTGTAAAAAGGGAATTTAAGCAGCTGTGAAAGATTGGGATACCACTACTTGAAAAAATATACTGTACCATTGAAAATTAGTTTAATTTTTGATTTGATTCAGAATATCTTTCCAATGGTTGCTTAATTTGAAACCATCCTCTCGGTTGAAATTGTGTCTGTGTTTGTAAATCTGAATTGCTTCGTGAACAAATCTCTGATAAAAACCTGTGGGTTTGCAAAGAACCTTGGTATCGGAGAAAATTATCAAACCAAACATTAAACAATTTTCAATGGTACAGTATATTTTTTCAAGTAGTGGTATCCCAAACTTTCGCAGCTGCTTAAATTCCCTTTTCACACCATCAATATGTAAACTCCCCGCTCCCCTCACCCCCTCGCCGACCTGCACATGTTCACCCCCTCTACACCGTTCATCATGCTAAGTCCGCCATTTAAATGCTAATTTTTATGCTAATTCCTTTGTAAAGGTGCTCGGTTTCCTCTCACACAGCTTAAAGGTTGCAGTCTGAGCTTGGCTGTGTTCACTCCAGCGCTGTCCTCTAGACAGTCTGGTCCCTTCATCTGATGAAGGCCACTTGTGTTGTGGCCGAAACGTCGTGATTTTAAATTTTTTATTTAAAGCTTTCGTGACTGCAGTAATTCATATTCTTAGCTCTTTCGGTAAAGTCACGTTAAAGGGAAACAATAAAATAATAAAATATATATAAAACAATAAAAATTCTCACGACGTTTCGACCATAACACAAACGGTCGTCATCAGGTGTGTCGGTTTGCATTAAATTATTTATTTCTAGACGGTGTATTTATTTATTTATAAAAAACGTCAGCGCCACGTGCAGCGATTTGGCAGTTTATTTAGAAGGACTAGTCCATCTATGTCTGAAAAGAGGAGGGGGGGAGACGAAAAATTAATGTATGCTGTCTGAAAGCCACTGTAAGCGTGAACAATCAATTAAGACCTGAAATGGTTCATCAAATCTTTCCAATGATTGCTAAGCCATCTGGCTACCATGAGAGATTCGCTCATGAGGCTATCCACATATACAAGCACAGAGACAATTTCAACCGAGAAGATGGATTCTGGCTTAGCAATCATTGGAAAGATTTGATAAACCATTTCAGGTCTTAATTGATTGTTCATGCTTACAGTGGCTTTCAGACAGCATACATTAATTTTTCGTCTCCCTCCTCTTTTCAGAATATAGATGGACTAGTCCTTCTAAATAAACTGCCAAATCGCTGCGTGTGGCGCTGACGTTTTTTTATAAATAAATAAATACACCGTTTAAGAATAAATAATTTAATGCAAACCGACACACCTGATGACGACCGTTTGTGTTATGGTCGAAACGTCGTGAGAATTTTTTTATTGTTTTATATATATTTTATTATTTTATTGTTTCCCTTCAACGTGACTTTACCGAAAGAGCTAAGAAGTCGTGATTTTTGTTTTATTTTTTTACCTACATGAATTTACCGAATAGAACCAAAGAGTACAGACTTCAAATGTCACATTGAGGCTTATGGGAACAATTAAGACTACAAACAAGACACAACAAATGAGGAAAAACTAAAAAACATGGGAATATGAAAGAACAAACAAGTGATTATGATAATTGTTTTTTACCCTTTTATCTGGCAACAAAACCGACACCTTTTTTTACAAGGAGTCATGTTTGCATTGACCACAATACCTGCAGTCGGAATGCAAACAAAAAACATTACTCTGATAATGTATGCACTGTTCTTGTAATTGATTGGTCCACACCCGAGACAGATTTCCTTAGAGCCTAGTCTCACATGGTGTTGGACCAGATGATGCCTAAAGGCGCACAACTCAAAGACAATGCACCATCAGAGTTTGAGAGCTCGGGGTAAGCATTTACACTATTGGAACCTCCTTTGCCAGTAGCAAAATACGATAAAAAAAGGTGTCAGTTTTGTTGCCAGATAAAAGGGTAATTTTTTATCGTATTTTGCTACTGGCAAAGGAGGTTCCAATGGTGTAAACAAGTGATTGTTGAATCAAATCGGGTGTGTGCTTTAATCAAGGCAGGGGTGAATGGATAGGTGGATTGTTCAATGGCGACCTGGTGTCGCGTTCAATAGCGACCAGGTGTTACGTTCAAGAGCGACCAGGTGTCACGTTCAATAGTGACTGGGTGTCGCGTCAATAGTGACCAGGTGTCGCGTTCAATATTGGCCAAGTGTCACGTTAAATAGTGACCAGGTGTCGTGATCAATAGCGATCAGGTGTCACGTTCAATAGTGACCAGGTGTCGCGTTCAATAGCGACCAGGTGTCACCTTCAATAGCGACCAGGTGTCACGTTCAAGAGCGACCAGGTGTCACGTTCAATAGTGATCAGGTGTCGCGTTCAATAGCGACCAGGTGTCACGTTCAATAGCGACCAGGTGTTACGTTCAATAGCGACCAGGTGTCACGTTCAATAGCGACCAGGTGTCGCGTTCAATAGCGATCAGGTGTCACGTTCAATAGTGATCAGGTGTCGCGTTCAATAGCGACCAGGTGTCGCGTTCAATAGTGACCAGGTGTCGCGTGTTCTGTGCAAACGCGGGATTGCAGGTGGAGCAAAAGAGAGCGCACATGGCGGTTGGCTCACTCACTATCAACGAGGAACGCTCGCAGGTGGTTGACTTCTCTGTGCCTTTCGTGGAGACCGGGATAAGCGTGATGGTGTCCAGGAGCAACGGGACGGTGTCACCCTCTGCATTCCTCGGTGAGACCTCCACGTGATCTTCTTGTGTCCCCTTCCACCCTCACCCTGTCGAGAGGGAAGTCTTTCAAATCCAAGTTCAGATGTTATTTGTGATGCAGAGTGTGCACAAATTGTGAGTTTTACTGGAGGAGGATGAGAAAGAGCAGGAGCGGTGGTGCAGCGGTTTGGCGAACTTTGCTAATAACCATTTCTCGTTCCGATGATGGATGTGTATGTCATCGGTTTTTCTTCTGATTCTGTAACTGATGACGTACGTGTACATCATTGAAAAGGAACCCCGCAGAAAAACTAAAATTAACTAAACTTAATCAGTACCGAGGCTCCCACAAGGCCATGCGGGAGGGCGTGTGGGACGGTTTGGCACTGGCTACCGTAGAGGAGAGCATTCGTGCCACTACGGTTCTCTGTGGTAAGTACAGTGGCTTTAAAAATGACGGTGCTACGCCTCTATAAATAAAATTAAAGCTGAGCCGTTTGTGCGTTCCGAGATCCAGAGAGGTTAACAGGGACACCCACCCTGCAACATTCCGACGTCTCGGAATGGGAAAGGGTTAACCATGGTCACCTGAGCAGGTCCTGGGCATCACCTCTTGACCAACTCGCACCGACTCCAGAAGTAGCTATGGCCTTGGAGTAAAGGGTGCAAACACAGAGGGCAATAGGAATTGAATGGCAGCCAGGGATATGCAAGTTGGAAGCTTTGGAGGGAGAAACGTGTACTGCACATGTAATCAAGGAGTCGAGAATGCCTCTCAATAAATGAGGCGCATGCACTTTGCACGATGAGGCTGGTTACCAAGACAGGCGTTGGTAGTGGCACCCAGGGGTTGGCGACCCATGGGAGGACCTGCATCCAGATGGTGTGAACCGTTGCCGTAAGAGCAGACCTTTGCGGCCACGTGTTAACTGTGCAACAGAAGGGAGGAATCAATAGTGAGATGCGGTGGCATCAAAGAAATCGGCCGTGTTGGCTTCTTGATTTTCTGTAATAATTCCCGAGTCCAAAAGATGAGAGACTACATCTTTTGATTCGATATAAAAATAAACTTTTTTTTTTTATATTTGACCAGGTAAGGTTTTTTTTCAGAAGCGAACTGACCATCACAAATGATAGCTCAACAAAGTGGCTATTTATTAAATTTATGGCACCCAAATACTCTAAACACGTTTCTAAATCTGGAGGGAGAAATCGGAGAACCCGGAGGAAAATCTACATGACCACGGGGACAGAGACATACAAACTCCAAATATACAGCAGGCATCAGGGTCGGGATCGAACCCATGGCCTTCATACCAGACAAGGAAATTAACATCTCGCCACCGTGTAGAAATGGAGAATAGTGCCTGTGGACAAAGCCATACTGGTTTCCACACATTTTTCAGTGGCTTCACAGAATCGGACCGGCAAGAGTCCTGAACATGATGTCAGGGTTACCCTGTCGCGGTGTATCCACGAGGCAGCGTTGTCACTACAGTGCTCGCTCAATCACCAAGCCGTGTTAACGTATATCGAATTAAATACCATTGAATCAAAGTGCACTCAACTATGGACCCCCCAAACCCACTCTGCCTGTCATGTATAAGGAGTCGCACTGCAGACTCGATGCTTCAGTCTGTTTTGTTAGCCGTGGTCTGTTTTTAGAGGTCCACATCTGTATTATGCACGTCCTGTATTGCTATAGAGGACAATAAAAAAACAACTTATTCAGAGTAATGACAAAACTATGCTCCCAACATATTATTAAGAAGTCTGCGAATCAGTTCATTCTCCGGTAAAAAAACTAAACTCCCATTTTGGAACACCTGTAAAACCCTTGTGGTGCACTACATGCATCATCTGCACCATGCATGCGTTTATGTATGCTGGCACACACGCCTCTGTCATTTTTTTTTACAATTTGACAGATTTACTCCCAGGGAACACTGTAATGTTTGTGCATTTGTACGCAACTGGCAGATGTATGGTAGGCATCGAATGATGCCTCGACTGCACTCGCACATAAAAAATAACCATTATCTTAAGGCAAACTCGGATTTTATGCAAAAGCAGCCCACTTATCTTGCCGATGCTTTTTTTCGCGGAGCATTGCACCATTTGATCGGAGAGGGGCCCTGTAGCCTCGCCCCACGAGCGAACGCACGAACGAACGGACGAACGAACGAACAAATCCCAAGATATTTTTTTGTGGTTTCCTTTCAGAGCCCTTCAGTGCTGCCGTCTGGGTGATGATGTTTATCCTCTGCCTCATGCTGTCCGCCATCGCCGTGTGGCTCTTCGAATACCTGAGCCCAGTGGGGTTCAACAGAAACCTGGCGAGTGGGAAAGGTAGGTGATAATAAAGCAAAGCAAGTGAAGAAATCGCGATGATTGTCACGGAAAAAGTACATCCTCACATTTCCTACTGTGCATCAGTCGGCAACTGTGATTATTTTTCTTTCGTGGCAAAGTCAATCACAGTTTCATGATTACAATTTTTTTTTCGGATTAGGTCATCGTGCAAGTACAATGTCAAATAGGGCCTATGCATCGTCCACCATCGAACACAGCCAATCAAATCGAGTTGTCACGTGTGGCAAATGCACCCCCTGATTTTGTTTTCAGCAAAACCGGTTACATTGAAAAGCAATTAGAATGTAAAACTAAAACAAAAAAACTAAAACTAAACTATTTTTTTTATTTACCAGGTAAGGCCCACTGAGCTAAAATTTCCTTTTTCCAGAAGCGACCTGGCCACAAATGATAGCTCAACGAAGTAGCTTATCATGTGGATATTTGTAGCAGACAAATACTCTTAAGCGCACGTTGTTTCTAAATGTGGAGGGAAAAACCGGAGGACCCGGATAAAAATCCACGCGACCATGAGGAGAACATGCAAACTCCAAATATAGAGGCGTCAGGGTCGGGATCGAACCCACGGGCTCCTGCATACCAGGCAAGGTAGTTAACATCTCGCCACGCGTTATGCACAAAATTTCGCTGGAGGATTACATCCAGCATCACAGATATTAGCCACGAGCTCAGAGCTCGAGGACTTTCAGTGTCACCGGTTTTGCTGAAAAACTAAATCGATTGGCATGTTTGTCCAGGTGACAACTTGATTTGTTTGGCTGTGTCGGGTGGTGGAGGGTTATAGCTCTAAATGATGTAATTCCCAAATGACAAAGTCAGTTGTGAAAGCCTACATCTGAAATTATAGCTTCTTGGATTTAAAATAAAAATAATGGGACAACCCATAAAGCTTGAACGTAACAGTGATAAGTTGAAGACCATGTGATGGAATTTTGCACAAAAGCTTTGCATGCAATTTGTAAACATTGCATCATTTGGTGTAAAGTCCGAACGTGGGCTTTCTGTGGCCGTGTTATGGAAGCGGCGTAAAGTGCAGTCCAACGCTTCACTCTCTACATGCACACAAAGACAAAGATCCCCCTTATAACCATAAAGACTTGGGGCAAGTGCTGTTATTGAGCACCTATGAAGGCCGGCACAAGAGGTTGGGTGGCCAGCACCACGCCTGGCTGCCTTTGTCTCCCTTGTGATGATGTTTGCACACTGCACCAGGTACTCATTTGAGGCTAAGTTGACCTAGAAGAGGCTCAGGACCAGTTCAGATAATCGTCACTGGTGTTGGTGGTCGTGAGCAGGAATCGAACTCGGGTCCCTGGGTTCGTAGCGCAGCGAGCTAACCAGTGTACACACACGCACTGTTCACCCCTGCAAGCAAATTCAAGTGTTCAGCACTGAGGATTGGGGAGCCTTTGCGTCACTTCCCTATGCGGAGGGGGAGGGGGTGTGGAGGTGGGGGGGCTACTTTACAAATTCGGTTGCTGCAAATGGAGCCCTGCACACTCACGCACGGCTGCTTCGGCGAGCACCACACACAACAAATAACAACACACCATTCACAGCCGCTGCAAAGCGAAGAAAAGCCTCAATACTCTTTGTTTTTTTCGGTAAAGTCACGTAGATAAAACAAAATCAAAATTAAAGAAAACAACTAGATCAAATCACGACGTTTCGGAGGCAATACAAGCTTCCGCTTCAGGTGGAACAGTCACAGCAAGATAGTTGCATCAAGTGATGAGCTCTGAGACCCTCGAGCTTATATACAGGTTAAGGTAGGGGGGAGGAGCCAAGCAGGGAACGACGACGAGGCCAAGTTAATCCGTCTTTTGTTATGTTGAGGGTTCGGGGGAAGCGGTGGTTCACTGCACGAGGGCAATGAAAAATGGTAAAAAAGGCTGTGCGCTTATAAGATAGCTGACGTTTTGACTTGGTTTATGACATCTTTCCAGTGGTTGCTTAAATTAAAACCATCCTCTCGGTTGAAGTTGTGTCTATGTTTGTAAATCTTGATGGCTTCATGGACAAATCTTTGGTAATAACCGGGAGGTTTGCATAGTACTTTGGTATCGGAGAAAACAATGTCATGAGATCCCGCTGTATTGAGACAATGATCAGCCACGGCCGAAGAATTCGTTCTGCCGTGTTTCAAATCTGATTTGTGCTCGCGAATTCGGTCAGAAATATGTTGTTTCGTCTCCCCGATATAGCAGTCACCGCAGATACAACTTAATTTGTAAACACCGGGGTACTGTAAGTCAGGAATGACATCCTTTACGGATGGGATCAGATCACGGATTTTGTGTACTGTATTGAACCGATCCTGGATCTTGTGTTTGTTTAGAATTTTGGAAATCCTTTTGGTGATGCCTGCTATGTATGGCAGTGTGATGATTTTGATTGGAGTGTCAAGTGGTTGCTTCCGTATGGTAGGAGAAAAAGCTTGGCGGATGATACGGTCAGAGTAACCGTTCATCTTGAGGGCTAGATGTACATGTTTCAATTCACTGGTCAGGTGGTGTTGGTCAGAAATGCAATGAGCTCTATGGTATAATGTTTTGATGAGAGCATTATTTTGAGCCAGGTGGTGGTGGGAATCAGGCTTCAAGTAGGAATCTGTGTGGGTGGACTTCCTGTAAACAGAATGTCCCAAAGAGCCATCAGTCTTCCTCTCAAACAGAACATTCAAGAATGGCAGCTTGCCATTTTTCTCCACTTCCATGGTGAATTTGATGGAGGGGTATCTGGAATTGATGTGGTCTAGGAAATGGTTCAAAGCTGGGAGGCCATGTGGCCAAATGACGAAAGTGTCATCCACATATCTCTTCCACAGGGAAGGACGAAGGGTGGATGTCTGAATGGCGTCTGATTCAAATTTCTCCATGAAAACATTGGCTATCACTGGTGACAAGGGGGGACCCATAGGGGTACCCTCATTTTATTTGTAGAAAGTGCCATTCCAGGAAAAGTAAGTGTTGGTGAGGCAGTGCCTAACCAGCGCAGGTACATCAGGGTTCAGTCCATGTTGGACCAAATCCTCAATTATTGTTATGGTATCAGGTACTGGGACCTTGGTGAACAGAGAAACAACATCAAAGCTGATGAAGATATCGTCAGGAGATAGTACAATGTCTTTGACCATAGAAACCAATTGGGTTGAATTAAGTACTGCTGAGGTGGTCTTGCCAGTGAAGGGGAGCAGAGTATCCGACAGAAAACGGGCTAGCTTGTAGGTAGGGGAGTTGATCATGGGCATGATGGGTCGTAGTCGGGTACCTTCTTTATGGATCTTGGGAAGACCATAGAATCTGGGAGGTCTTGCAGCGGAGGTTTTTAGGGAGGGACGTTTGGTTGGTTCGATTTGGGAAGTCGAACTAGTGATGATCTTGTTGGTTTTTATTGTTAGGCTGTTAGTAGGATAACTTTTAATTTTTGAGTAACTCCCATCATTGCGTAGGTCCTGGATTTTGTTGTTGTACGAGTTTTTATCCCTAATGACATTGGCATTGCCCTTGTCGGCCGAGAGGATGACTATATCATCCCTTTTTTAAATTCGCGAGTTCAGAGTGTTCGTCTTTGCAAATATTGCTGATGAGTTTCTTAGCATTCTTGAGAATGTTGGCTATTTCAGCTCTTGTAACGTCAGCTTGGATGTATCCTATGCCTTTGAGGGCTACATCGACCTGAGAGATGATATCCTCTACTGATATATATGTTTAGGGGTGACAGCGAAATTTAGCCTTTTAGCCAGTACCGTTTTTAGATTGTCCGAAATCGGGATGTTACTCTGATTGATAACGATTTTGTTAACATCCAGTTTTGTGATGTGTGGTTCTGGCCTCTTCTTTGATAGGAGGCTGAATTTAGCGATCAGGTTAGCTTTGTATTTAACTGACAGTGAATCAGCAGAGGCAGCAGTCATGTTGTCAACGTGGTTCCAATCAGAAGGGGACATTTTTGTGTTAGCACTAAATGTGATTGTAGGAGAGTCCTGTCTAAACTATCGAGTTCAAATCGGAGTACTCTTATTCTCTCTGAGATTAGTGATAGGCTAGCATTAAACAGAATCCGTTTAGAGTTCGGTGTAGATACAGCAGCAGATGTGAGTGTGAAAGCGATGGGTATTACCTCGTTATCGCGGCATCTTTTGAGGAAGGTTAGCGTCTCGATGAGCTGTGACTTCTTATCTCGTTGTCTGTTAAAAGCTCTAACAGATAGGTGAAAACCTTCCCCGTAGAGGTCATTGATTCTAGATTTGAAGCTTTCGTGACTGCAAGGATTCATACTCTTTGGTTTTGTCGGTAAAGTCACGTAGATAAAACAGAATAAAAAAAAGAAAACAACTCAATCAATCACGACGCTTCGGAGGCAACACAAGCTTCCGTCTTCAGGTGGAACAGTCACAGCAAGATAGCTGCATCAAGTGGTGAGCTCTGAGACCCTCCACCTTATATACAGGTTAAGGTGGGGGGGAGGAGCCAAGCAGGGAACGACGACGAGGCCAAGTTAATCCGTCTTTTGTTATGTTGAGGGTTCGGGGGAAGCGGTGGTTCACTGCACGAGGGCAATGAAAAATGGTAAAAAAGGCTGTGCGCTTATAAGATAGCTGACGTTTTGACTTGGTTTATGACATCTTTCCAGTGGTTGCTTAGTTGTTTTCTTTTATTTTGATTTTGTTTTATCTATGTGACTTTACCGAAAAAACCAAAGAGTATGAATCCTTGCAGTCACGAAAGTTTCAAATCTAGAATTAATGACCTCTACGGGGAGGGTTTTCACCTATCTGTTAGAGCTTTTAACAGACAACGAGATAAGAAGTCACAGCTCATCGAGATGCTAACCTTCCTCAAAAGATGCCGCGATAACAAGGTAATACTCATCGCTTTCACGCTCACATCTGCTGCTGTATCTTCACCGAACTCTAAACGGATTCTGTTTAATGCTAGCCTATCACTAATCTCAGAGAGAATGAGTACTTGGAT